TGTTTTTTTATTTTTATTTACTTATTTTTTTGCAGTTTTGGCCAGGGCTGGGCTTTAACCTGCCGTACCTGGTATTTGGGGTCGGCACCCCACTCCTGGAGCCAGAGGCGCTGCCCCTTTTTGTTCTTTTATTTTTGAAATTTTATTAATTCATTCATTTTGAGACGGAGTCTTGCTCTGTTGCTTTGGTGGAATACAGTGCCATCATTGTAGTTTACTGCATCTTTAAACTCCTGTGTTCAAGCAGGCCTCCTGTGTTAGCCTGCCAAGTTTCTAGGACTACAAGCATGAACCACTATGCCCAGCTAATTTTTCTGATGTTTGTAGGGATGGGGTCTCAAACTCTTGGCCTCAAGCAGTCCTTCCTCAAGCGTTGGCCCTCCCAAAGTGCTAGTATTATAGGCTTGAGCCACTGTACCCTGCCCGTACCTTACGTTTTTCTAAAGCTAAAGTATGGTTCAAATATTTAGACCGTCTCTCATACCTTTAAAATCAGTTTGATGCTGTGTGTTCACATGTTTTCTTTTTCAATAAGGAGAAGCTGAAGTAGAATAAGTGTATACCTATTTTTTGGAAGTCAGTCTTTATTATACTTATTATTGCATGTAATTATTTTGAAAATTTTAGGATTGTATCAGTTTTATTATTTGCAGTTATGTGGTTAATGTTCAAAATTTTAAAACTTAGGTTTTTGTGCTTTACAATAACATTATTTTTATTTATTTATTTATTTACTTACTTTGAGACAGAATCTCCCTATGTTGCCCTTTGTAGAGTGCAGTGGCATCACAGCTAACAGCAACCTCAAACTCTTGGGCTTAAGCAATTCTCTTGCCTCAACCTCCCGGGTAGCTGGGACTACAAGCAGCCACCACAATTCCCGGCCATTTTTCTGTTGTAGTTGTCATTGTTGCTTAGCTGGCCCAGGCTGGGTTTGAACCCACCAGCCTTGGTGTATATGACTGGCACTGAAACCACTGTGCTATGGGTGCCAAGTCAATTTTTATGTATTTTTAATGTATTCTTTTGTCAACTTATCCTCATTTTTCCTTTCATTAAATAAATATTAAACATATGCCATGGTAAATAGTTTCTAATAAATTGATTTTTAAAGATAATAGTTTATAGGTTGGGTGCCAAAGGCTCACGGCCTGTAATTCTAGCACTCTGGAAGGCCCATATGGGTGGATTGCTTGAGCCCAGGAGTTGGAGACCACCCTGATCAAGAGGGAGAGACCCTGTCTCTACAAAGTTAGAAAAATTATCCAGGCGTTTTGGCAGTCACCAATACTCCCAGCTATTTGGTAGGCTGAGCAAGAAGATAGCTTCAGCCCAAGAGTTTGAGGTTACTGTGAGCTATGACACCAGAGCACTCTACCCAGGGTAACAAAATGAGACTCTTTATCAAAAAAAAAAAAAAAAAAAAAAGAGAGAAAGAAAGGAAGAAAAAAGAATAGTTTACAGAAACACTTTCATTTGCATGATCACTTTTACTTGTCACAGTGGGTGCTGTTAGATTGATAGGGTAGGTATTAGGTATGTCCATATTTTATAGACGGGATAATTGACATTTCAGTTGAAATGTTCCAGAGTATCAGAATTGAAAGAATTCAGGTTTTCTGATTTGTATATGTTGCATCCCTTTCCTGTGTTTATGCTTCCTGTCTTGTTTCATTCTTAGAACCTGAAGAAAAAAATTGACATTCTTACGTATTTTCTTCTTTGTAAATAAAAAAAAATGTTTTTTTTGGTGGACTTTTCCTAACCTGTAACAATGAAAACAATTGGAGTTACTTGAGAATTACATAACTAGTTGCTTATACCTATTCTTTTTATAGTAAAACTTTCAAAGTAGTTATATATATATCTATTAATACATCTTAGAAATTGTCCTTGTAGAATGTTTCAGATAATTCATTGTATGTAGAATATTTGACTATATGGATCCAGTTTAAATGTTAATAAGTAATAAAAGAATGAATAGTTTTAGTTATATGTATTCATAGACGATTGATTTGCTCTTTCCTGTGTAACCAGTACTTAACAATGTTGCATCTCTGGATAGCCATCCAGAAACTAAAATGTTATCAGGAAGAAACAATGATTAGTGTTAGTTTCAAAAGTTTGTGCTAGATTGTGCAGGTGGTACATTAGATCTGAACATTCTTAGTAGGCTCTGTAGTGCTTAAGACTTATTAACATTTTATAAAATTATCAGTGTTTTTATAAAGTGTTAAATTTAGTTCTGTCATCTTATTATGGCAAATTGATCACCAAAATTAAAAACATTTTACCATAGTGTTTCTGGAAAAAGAAACATTGATATTAAGAGCCCAAGAAACTGATCACTATAAATTTATTATCTTCTGACTGGTCATTTTTCTTTTTCTTTTTTTTTTTGAGACAGAGTCTCACTTTGTTGCCCTGGGTAGATGCTGTGGCTCTACTGCAACCTCCAACTCTTGGGCTTAAGCAATTTTCTTGCCTCAGCCTCCCGAGTAACTGGGACTACAGGCTCCTACCACAACATCCGGCTTTTTTTTTT